GGCCGAGGCGGAGATGGCGGCCGCCCAGGTGAGGGTGCGTCCGGCCGGGGCTGGGCGGCGTTTCCCCCTGAGCTGCTCTGCGTTTAGAACTGGCGCTCGGTTCCTTCTCTGCTTCTGCCGTCCTGCCTTCCGTGTGTGCTCACCTGCTCTGAAACCTTTAAAAAATGCACCTCAGGCTTAGGTGTGTACAAGGGTCGGCCACCCCAAGATGTGCCACTGGGACAAAATGAGTAGTATATGAGTTGCAAAACCATCAGGGCACGAAAGACTCAGAATGAAACTTTGACCTCCCACCCACAACTGCGTGAAAAGAATTTAGCTGGAGACGGTACTCCAGGAGGAGGGCTGTCACCTAGATAGTTGTACCTACATAATGTAACCTGGGAGGGATGCGGGTGAGTCTGATCAGGAGCCAGATAATGTGTTTAAAACCTCACTGCTGCCGTTTACTGCTTGTCTGGCAAAATAATTTCATAAGAGAATATGCTTCTTACAGATAATTCTCGTTTTCTTGTATTAATTTATGAAAAGCTGTTAGAATGATGTAACTAGTAAATGTTCACTAAGGAATATGTCCATTTTATTGGTATTATATTAGAACCTGAAATTGCCAGGAAAATGTTTCACAAGGGTTCTTCCACTGGAGTTCTCCCTCTTTGTTATTCAAAGTGGAACCGGAGTTCTGGGCTAAGGCCTTCTTAGAAAAGCAGGCTCAAAGCCCATCCCAGAAATCCTGAATAAGCAGCTGCATTTTTAGATGTCCAGTTCCCTGTAGTGAAATTCTAATTCACGTTGGAATGTGAGGAGTGCATTTCTAAGTTACCTAAACTTTCCATCTAAGACAAATACACAAGTATTCTGTAGGCTCTAAACACAGTACTCAATACTGTGTATGCCTGTGTCGGTGCCTGTAATGTGTAATTGATGTTGAGGAAAGACAGTCTTTGATGTAGTTCTGGGGGTCATAGGTCATATTCCCTGAGATTCACACAACACACTTCAGGGCATCTTACTGTGCTGGGAATGGTCTCATGGGATAAAGCTGGACATTGACCTCGGTCAGAGCCAGTTTTTCTTGCTCTGTCTTCTCACCTTAGGAAAGATTATGACCTCTGGTGTTACCCACTCGGTAATTTATCTCACCTTCATGGTTGTGGCGGTAGAATTCTCCCAGGAGGAGTGGGAATGCCTGAACCCTGGTCAGCAGGAATTGCAACCAGGGATTATTGCTCTGAATTCTGGGGGAAAAAATACAGATTTGGAGAACTGTGGTCATCATCCAGTGCTCGTGAATTAAGTTGCACTGGCTTCTCTGACAGTTAAAAGTAGAACAAAATCTCGTTTAGAGTTGACCTTCATCCTTATTTGTGTTTTTCCCCCTCTGGACACTGTTCTGTTCCTACTTCTGATCATGAGTGGGGTGTCAGCATTTGCTTATGTTTACTTGTTACAAAATATCTGTACCTGTTGGCACTGAATTGTGCAGATGAGTCAAATTTAAGTGACGCTGGGTTGTGTAAATCAGTCCACTGAAGTAGTGTAAACTACTGGTAGCGTGTTCTTCCTCCTACTTGAATCTCTCTGAAAATCCTGCTCAGGAGGTTCAGTTGTCTGCTGGTTAGAGTAGAAGCGGTTAGCAAGATACAAGCAGCAGAGAAGGGAGACTTGGAAGCCAATATCCTTCCTAGGTGGGCTTATACCTACCCTTTGCCTAAAGGGAAAAGGAGAACAGAGCTGGGAAATCCCGAAGCTGACATCTGAGCAAATGACACCAAGACTTGGGTGAGAATGACCTTTGCCCTTTCACTTAATCAGTAGAATTCCACACACACACACAGCCGCCCCTGTGGGTTTTCCTGTCTGCACTAGAGTCAGAGCCTGCATAGAACCCGAGCAGTGAGCTGATCTGAACCTGCTAACCCCGCCCTCCCACTTCCTGTAAAACCGAGCGTTCAGATAGTCCCCTTGCTCAGTGACTCTCTCTCCTGTCCCTCCTCGCTTTGTGTCCTTGTCCGAGGGTGTGGATGGGGGGGGAGAAAGACCCCTCCCGGGACCTCGCTCATAACTTAATGTAGGAACAGCTCAGAAGCCTGAAGGACGGGAAGCCCCCACTTTGCTCGGTCACGTGACTCCTCCTGGAGGTTCTGGGCGGGGCCGTGAGACCCGCCTGCTGCGCTCCCGCCCCTCCGCTCAGCCCTCACTGTCCTCCCTTTGTGGCAGGGTTGCCACGACTGTCCTCGCACGTGTCACTTTCAGGTGTGTCCGCCTGCAGGATCCTGGAGAAAGGGTCACAAACACTCCAAAGGGCCCCGTGGAGAAGCTCCCTAGAAGCTTGTGATGGTTTTGGTTTTTTTTGTAATTAGCAACTGAAAAAGGCTCTCAGAAGTGACCCCCCCACAAGCCCGCGCTGCCTTAGCTGCTGTAGGGGAAGGGGCGGTGAGGTCACAGGATCCCGAGGCCTGTCTCTGCGTTTGCCCTGGGCGCCTGCCCTTCCCAGGAGCTGGGCGTCCCCACGGCAGGGAGGAGGGGCTGTTTTGTATTTCTGCTGGAGAGGCGGGGCCTGTGATGAGAGCAGGGCTGTCAGGAGTCTGGGTCAGTGATCGTCTTGGAAAGAAGTGATGCTCCCGGGTGTGAACTCAGTCCAGCATCAGAGCCACGCAGGAAGGAGGAATAATTGCAGAGGTGTGAGCTGAGCTAATAAAAAAGGCAGGTGGGGTCCCTCACCTCACACCCTTTGAGATGGCTCCTCATGTGGTTTCATATCATTGACAAGACAGTTTGGTGTTTAATCAACATAATGAAACCTGATTTTTAAGGGACACAGAAAGGAATGCAGTTCTGAGATGAATGTCCTTGTCCAGCTGCCTTACAGGAATCAAAAACTAAATTTCAGGATTCCTAACTTTGTGCTTACAACCCGTTCGTGCTTGTGATAAAGAGCAGGATGAATCTGTTTGGATCCTGTCATCCTGTGCAGAATCAGCGCATTTGAGTTACTGCTGCCAGACTAGAAACGTTTTCTCTAACTCCGGACATGTTGTAATTAAGGGAGACACTAATTGTGGTCATGCTGAAAATCCCCGTAGCCTGTAAATTTCGGTCTGTTGTCCCTCCTGAAGTTGGGGAAACAGCATGTGTAGAAAAGGTAACTTTCTGAGTTTCAGACAATAGCTGTTGGGATTGAATGGATCTTGTGATAATACATTTGGTTTAAAAATAGTCTAATACCAATTCACAAAAATCTGCAGATCATAAAATAACACCAGATTTCATGCTCTGGAGATACAATGTTGTGCATAGGTCACATTTTAATATCTTTTATAAGGCAATCGTCATTGCTGTTTTCACATATTTGGATTCAAATTATGACTGACTATTGTTCTTGTTTTACACAATATCACAGCAGTGATGTGATCTGTGGGCCTCGGGCAGGTAATCACAGTTTGTGCCATTTGTGTTGAACATCTGTCCACTTCACTCAGGGGCTCTGTTCCATATCCTCCTGTTAGTAATTTCCCACTTGTCATTAAGGATCTCAAAGAATTTGCTGAGAGATGTTCACAAACCACCCTATTTAGTCTAGAAAACTCCATTTTCTTCTCAGTTTCACTGCACTTGTAGTTTGCTTTGGAAAATGAAGGGGGTCTCCTTTGCTCCCTGTTGATTTTGGCTCAAGTGGAGGTTTCCACCAGGCAGCCTGGGTTGTAGAAGTTTGCTTTTCATTCCCCACTCCTTTCACAGACCTACTGTTTCTTATTATATTTTGCATTTTCAAAAAGAAAAGAAGAATATATAGATCGTATACTTAACATATGTATTAGTGTCTTCAAATTCTAAAACATAACTGGGCACGTATGATAAATGTAGCAAAAAGATTCAAGGAAATAGAAGAGTCAGAAACAGTAGCTTCAATTTTAGTTTTTATCATTTGTCTGGGTTTCCTTTATTTAAAGATAGAAAAAATATCATCCTTAAATGATTAATGGATTTGCAAATGAAAGCATGTCTTATTTTCTGACAAAAGTTTTGGCCTTATTAGTTTTAACGTGCATACTTAGGTTTTAATATATGGATGTGTGTTCAAATGTAGAAGTTACTAGGTCAAGTCTGTGCCGGTTGGTTCATTTGTGTCTGTTCCTCTCAGTTTAGGAAACTGCTGTGAGCCTCCTTTCAGGTTGACGACAGTACTCATCTGTGTATTCCTCTTGATAAATTCTAGGTTAGATAAAGTGGGTTAAAAGCCAGGCTCTACTATTTACTGTGTGTTTAAAAAAATATCCTCATATGTCAGTGAGATTAATGTTCTTAATGGATTATTTTTGTGTATTGTGCATCAGTTAATGAAAAGCTGTTAGAGTACTATCTAGCATATAGTAAATGTTCTAAGTGGATTGTGGATGCCCTTCTTGCTATGATTTAAGAGACCCCTTTTGCCATAAAATGTTTAGTTCAGTGCTACTTATGAATATTTTCCCCATGGTATTTCACTGCTTTGTAATTCAAAAATGTGGCCCTTGGAGGGAGAGTTCTTAGCCTCACTGGTGAACCTGCTGGAAATGCAGAAACTGAGGAACCAGGCAGAATACCTGAATCATTCTCTGCATTTTAAAATCAGGAGATCTTCATTGTTCTACATATTAAATTTGATAGGTAAACTTCTAGTGGACCATGACTGCCATTGAGAAATATATACAATTTAATAGGTACGCTATTGACTTAGTACTTAAAAATGTACATGCCTGTATTGATTCCTCAATTATATGCTTTATCTCCCATATAATTATAGTGTCTACAGTGGTTTTGTGGATTTACATCATCCTCTTTCCTCAACGGTAAAGGAACATTATAGAATATTGTTTTGTTGAGAATCCTTCTGGTCACTCTCCCAGGCCCAGACCAGTTCTCTTACCTCTCACTCTCTCTTTGACTCAGCTTGTGACTCTATTTATAGCCACTTGGTCAACGTGGTTATTTTTGTTCCTTTGTTCTTTACACATCAGGGACTGTTGACCTTCGGGGACGTGGCCGTCAGGTTCTCCCAGGAGGAGTGGGAATGCCTGGCGCCTGCCCAGCGGGCCTTGTACAGGAGCGTGATGCAGGAGAACTACAGCAACCTGGTCTCTGTGGGTGAGAAATTGGATTAGGCATTGGGGTGTGGAGGTTGGAGGGGCAACTTCATGTCCTGGATGGAGGAAGACAGGAGGTAAAGAATTACCTACTGCCCTTAACAGGCTGAGCTCCTTCAGTAACATTTTGTTGACTAACTTACTGGTGCCTCCAGGGGAAATGACCTGTGGTCCCTCATAACTGCCCATCTCTGTAAAGTGCCTTCTGACACTTTATTTTATTCTTATGGTTCCTGTTTGGTTGACAGTTGCCCTGTTACTTTAATGAGCAGTTTCTTGTAAAGAATATTTCTGGCCTATTTCAAGGGGCCCTGTTGAACATTATGTCCCCAGAAGTTAATTCGCATTATACTTGGGAATTGGTCGTTTTAGTGTCCCCGTTCCCCCCATCTCTGCCCACTGCAGCGCCTGGCAACTACCAATCTGTCCTGTTCTTTCGGGTTCGTTTTTTTTTAATATTCCACGTATGAGTGAGACCATGTGATATTTCTGTTTCTCTGACTGACTTCATTTATCTCAAAGACCTCAAGATTTATCCACATGTGTGCAAATGGCTGGCTTCCCTCCTTGATGACTAAATAGGATTCCACTGTGTGTGTGCATGTGTGTGTAGATCTACATCACACACTTGATTTACCCATTGATGGACACCTGGCTTGTTTCCACGCTTTGGTTAATGTAAACAACAGTGCAGGGCATTATGGATGCATACATTTCTTTGCAAT